TTATGGGATTTTCCTGCTCTTCTGACTTCAACCCCTCGTTCTCCTTCGACTTCTTGAAAATTTATTAAATTTGCGGCGCAGTTTTCCTTGGTCTGCTTTCGGGGGGGAGGCTTTGTAGGGTTTCTTTCATGCTGCACGGAGAAACCCCTGCGATGTCCGGGGGCGGGGGAGCTCTCTGCTGATTCACACCTCCAAACGAATGTTGCATATGTAGGTATAGATATGTCTGTCTGTATATATCTGTGCAGTTTTGGCATTAACCTCGAGCTCTAACAGCCCCGGAAGCGATTTACACACACGCCCCCTTTCGCTGGATGGCGACACATAAATCACACAGCGCCAAGTCCGAGACGCACTTTGAAATCCACAGCTAAGGGCATTATAGTAGAGTGACAAAATTTAATAAAAATATATACACAAGGGAATTCTTTATATTACTCAGATAAAAAAAATGTAAAAGGGACCATGATATAATTATAAATATCATTATACAATACTTTGAAAGTTGGATCAAATTTGTGTTATTGTTGTGAACTTTGAAGAATTTGGTAAATTTGTTGTTTATTTCAATATCTTAGCTCCAAAAATTTGATCATTTTTATGGAGAATTTGAATTTTATTAGAATTTTGGCTTCAAAAAGACCTTAAATATGATAATTGTATGCCCCTTTTGAATTTTTTTATTCTTTTAATTTTATGATTATAATTTTTTTTAATTTTTGTCAATTTTTTGGCCATTAAAATGTTTTCAATAAATGAAAAAATTATGCTGGCCTAAAAATATACATTTTATAAAGTCGAAAAATATATCTGCTGAACAAAATCAAAGTTTCCTGCCTGCATCCACATCTGTAACTTAATTTTTTTATGTGTATTAAATCTCTAAAACTTTGACCACATTTGTACGTTTATGCGTATTTGTCTGCATTTATGTGGCGCTCATTTAAATTCATTGTTTTGTTTCCTTCTTTTTTTGTGGATGTTTCTTTTTTTTATTTATTATTATTATTTTTTTTGCGCATTTCCTAATTTGATGGTTACCTCTGACGTCATTGCCACTGCGCATGACCCGCAACAGAGGCAGCAACAACATCATCAGCAGCAGCAGCAGCAGCCGCTGCCACACTAGCAACAACAGCAGCAGCAGCAGCACAGTAACTACAGTAACGCTGGCAACAACAACATCTTGATACGCTTTGTTGTTCCGTCTTATTTATGTGGTGGCGTGACCGACTAAACGGAACTGCCGGCCCCCCCTTATGGTCCCTCTCTTGGCCCCAACACACACCCCCTAACATCGCCCCAAAGCAAAACTAGAAACGTATAAGCGAACAAAAACAACAACAACAGCATCTCAGGCACGGCGGCAATAAAAACAAATCACACTGAACAGCGAGTGCACAGAGAGAAATTTAAGGCTGTACAGTCAGAGTTTTAGTAAGAAATAATGAAGAAATATAGAGGCTAAAAAATCTGTTTTAGGAGTTTAAAATCAAATTAAATTGGGCTTAAACATATGGTAATTAATAACAATATATTAAAGTTGCATCTAAAAATAGATATATATATAATATAGTATATTATTTAAGTATTATATAATATATTAAAAATGCGTATAAATATATGTAAATAATAATGGGAATAATATCTTTTCAGGAGTTTTTACTTTAAAAATTAAATATAAATATATTTCCCCGTTTTTTTTTTGTGTCTGTATCAAGTCTAAGAGTAATATAAAAAAATATTATTTTTTTTGAACACCTTTGCAGTTAGTTGTGTGTTAGTTTTGTTAGTTTGTTTATTATTTTTCTCGGGCACCAGGAAACGATCTCCTTAACTCTTTCACTTTGCAATTAAGATGGGAAATAAGAAGTGGTAATGAGGGGGAACAACAGAGCAATCATAAATCAAATATTACGTTTAATAAATAAACAAAATGGTTAGTAATACAGGTAAATAATAGTGAGAAAATATCATAGTTACCAAGCAATCGATAAGAATTTATAAACTTTCCCATATATATAATAAATTTAAGCAATTAAAAAGTGACAAATATATTTAATTAGCAAGGTAACGATAAATTTAAGATTTAGTTTAATATATTGTCACATGAGATATATAACGAAAAAGGGAGAGGGAATATATAATAATAGATACATTTGCAAGTCAACTTATATATTAACGTAACTAATTTAATTTAATAAAATAAATATGTTGCTTAAAGAATAAAAATAAATAAGAAAGGGGGTAAGCCTAAAATTTACACCATTTAAAATCTATTATATCTTATTTCGATTTTAGTATATAGTACATCGGAAAAGGGCTTGTTTACTTGAACTTTATTGAACAAATTATATAGTATATAACAGGAAAAACTTACCCACATCACATGTAAACTTATGCACTGTTTGGGACTTTTATAGTCCATTCGAGCCGCTCTTTATTACTGTCATATTTATGAGGCTAATTCAGTTGACTTGTCCTCCTTTTATTGGAAGCAAAAGGATAAAATAAAGGTCGCTTCATAAATCAAAAGACAACGAGGTAGGACCTAAAATCAGAGATAGTATAAGCTTTAGTTACGAGCTTTATAAATAAAAATATATAAATCATTTATATTATATATTTATTGCATTGAATGTGAATTTTTAAAAGAAAAGGATGATATATTAACTCAGAGCAATAATTTAAATTAGTTTTCTGCACTTTCACATTTATTTGAGTAGCAGGTAGCTTAAAAAAAAAACAAACACTTGAGAATGTGATTTACAACTGCCACTTGAGAATGTTTACATCTATGTGACAATAACAAATATATATAGTTTTTCTTGAGGCAATTGGAGAAGTAACCCAAACCGAAATGTCCTATGAATAACGGTCACGTAATTACACATGTTGACCCCTGACCTTTGTTTGTCTGTAAACTATCAGTTCTGCTTGGACTTTTGTTTTATTTTGGCATTTCTTTCTGTCTATCCTCTTGCCGCAATATCTATAATCCAAAGATCGCGATCCATAGCAAACAGTCGCTGCAATAAGTAATGGGCACAAAGCAATTCAAATAATGGCAGCAGCAGTAGTTGAGCCGCTAGAAAGCAGCCAAGCGTGGCAGTTGCAATGGCCAAAGAAAATAAGGTAACACATCTATATATACGTATACAGAAGGAGATATATATATATATATATTTAGAGAGAGAGAGCCGGATCAGATGTTCCATTAGTCCGCTCCCCGTGTGTGCATTATTTTGTTGAGTAAAATTTGATGTGGTGCAAATGAACTTGCCGCCGTTGCGTTGCGGGAGGTCACAGGTGCTTGTTCCTTCTTGACTCTGGCCGCTTCTCACCTATTCTACCTCTCTTTTGGACCGACAGCTGCTGGTAGATACACTGAAAAAAAAAAAAATACTTGAAATCTGTTTAAAAAAGTATTAAAAACAAAGCTTAAACTGAATTTATTCAATTTAGAAATAACTTACATATTAAATACAATTAAATTACAATATTAAAATATTATAAATAATGGAAAACATTCCCGAATTAATTAAAATTTCTCTCAGTGTTGCCTTGTTTTCTGGTTGTTCCTGTTTTCAACCTTATTTGTTGTGAATGACGGAGCATTTATATAGGTTTTGTTTTCTTATTCGGGACTAGATTCCGTGTAAGTCAGGCCATCAAATGCAGTTCCTGTGTTCTTCATTTTCCTTCCACTTTTCCTCCGTTTCTATTTGATTTTCCCATTTTGATTCTTCCTCTCAAAAAGACCGTGATAATTGTGCTCTGGGGAGGTAGGTGTGCATGTTGGACATTTTATGCGGGCTTGGGGTCCAACTCATTGATAAGAACTTGCTGGAGGTCCTACCTTTTTGGGGGTTAACCAATTTTAACGTCTTTTTAATCAATTTTCTTTTCCTTTTTTTTCAGGTGAGTAAAACTGGTTCATTACAATATTTGATTATTTCTGTAAAGGAGGAGCTTGTACCAGGTAACCCAAAAGTTAATGATTAAATATCTTCCTATGAAATTCAGTTTAGTTTATAAAATCTACAAAAGTAACAAAATACCTGGGATTAATCCTGAAATCGTAACTCTCCTGGGGATAAACTTAAAGAAAATTATAAAAAGGGGACAGGAGGGTTTTAAGCAAGATCCCTAGCTATAAAAATAAATATAAGACTCAAGTCCAGGCTCAAAAATCCCTCTTTTCAACTCCCATTATTAAACTCCTAAAAAAGGTAGCAGAAAGTCACTACTATTCTACTACTATTTTGTAGTAATCTTATTTCTGTGCAGTCTGGCAACGCTAACGCTGTCAGCTGCTTAAGCATCAACACATGAGCATCCAGCTGATGCCAGAGAGCCACCAAGAGAGCGGGAGAGCAGAAGCCAAAAGCAGTCAAACAAGTGGTCGAAACACCAACAAATTCATGTGGGTTTGTAAGCAAAACACGTACTCTCACAGCTCTCGCTCAGCTGCTGCCGAGGGAGAACCCATGTTGCTGTTGTGTGCGTAGGCCACTAGCAGTGTTGCCACTTTAGAAATTTAGTAGCTATTTCTGGCAACTTTAAAAATATGTACTACCTTTTTACTACTATTTTGTAATGAAATAAAACCATTTTTTACATTTTTTCAAATATGACAACAAAAAGGTTTATAAAAGATCTGGCAAACATTAAAGAAGAACTCTTTACTCTTATGAAAAAACTTTAATTTTAAATTAAAAAAAATTAAAATATTTAATAAATTACTTTCACCCGATGTTTGTAAAATATTCCCATAATTTAAGTTTAAAAAACAGTAAAATACTGGGAAATTCTATTTAAAAATAATAACAATAATTATAAATAAATAAAATAAATAAAAAATCATTAAATGACTAGGAAAAAGCTGACTGAGCCACACTGGCCAGCAGCAACATCAACAAAGGCATACAGCAAATATAGCAACCACTTCATCTTTACTGTGTGCCGCTCTGCTCTGCCTTGCTGTGTGTGTTGCCAGCCAAACAAGCAGTCAGTTCAGTCAAAAGACGGCCAGACCTCAGTATAGAAATTTCCTTTGGCTCGATTGGTTGGTCGATTTGGAGCTGTCGCAGGTCGATCGTTGTTGTTAGTGTTCGCCGCGTCATTTGACATTGTTTTTCGAGGCGCCGCCGTCGGTTGCAACCTCACAGCGCGCGGCGCAGTTAAAAACGTAGCTGCAGCAACAATTAGCAAAACAAGTGAAATGCTATGCTAGCAAAATATTAAAATTAAATATATTAAAGAGAAGAAAAAAAGAAACACTCAACCAAAATGTAAGAAAACAAAGTGATTCCCCCCCAAAAAAAAGAAAAGAAAAAGAAGTGCCAGAAGTGCTTGTGTATTAGTGTGGTTTTCTCGACTCTGTGTGAAACTGTGTCATTCACTGCGAAAAAAACGGCATTCAAGTTTTTCCTCGGCAACAACTACTAACCATTGCAGTGTTGTTGGCGGGTTATTGTTGCTGTTGCAGCTAGCTGCCACGGTTTGTTGCTTCACTGATTACGCGCAATGCAGCAGAAGAAGCAGCAGCAGCAGCAACAACAGTAGAGGAGCAATAGCAGCAGCAGCAGCTGAGAGTTCAGTTGTGAAACCGGCGAAGCGCGACTGTTGCCAATGCAACGCTTAGAATTGGCACACCAGCAAACTGCAGCAACCACTGCAGCAACTGCAACTGCAGCAGCAACAACCACTGTTACGGTACATTCACGATGTTGCTGCTGCTGGTGTGCCACTCCAGCACTAGTTTTTTTGTGTGTGTCTTTCTGCCACCATATTGTTTTAAACACTTCCTTTGCGGCAGCGGCAGGAACGAGCTTCCTTCCTCACGGACTTCCTGTCTGTCTGTCTGTCCGTCTGCCCGCTTTGCCATCCCTCTCGAGGCAACCTCCCTCTCTGCCTTTCCGGTTTCCTCCCTCCTCGCCCTTGCGGCATTGTCAGGTGTTTTCTCTGCAACACTGGGATACAAATTTTGGGGAAAAACTTGTATTTTAATTAGGGAAAAGAAACTATTTTTGGTTGACAATAATTATCAGATTTTAAGACTGTAAATTGGAATGAATTTTGGGATTAAGTTTAAGCTGATTCTTGTATAACTATCAGTTAAAATTAACCATATAGATTTTCAACCTTTCCCTTAGTCTGAATTATCCTGACGATAGTTTTTTTTTCTGTGTACATCCCCCGGTTTCCTTCTTGTTTCTGCATATTTTTTTTGTCAACCCCGTTGACGCCTACGTGTTCAATACGCTGAAAAAACAACAGTACGAGTGGCTTAACCAGCAGCTTGTTATTTCTCACACCTTCCGGTGAGACCCCCACCTCCTTCCCCCCACTCAAAGCCCCTCTCACAGACCCTCTCGCAGACCCCTTTTAGCCCTCAAGAGCGCTAGGCCATTTATCGATTTTTTTTAGGTCAGGCTAAAATTGCAAAAGCAACTGGAATTAGTTGCGGATTCCCATGGACTTTATTGCGAAAGCCGCCAGAAACTAATGAAAAGTTAAGCCAAATTGTTTGATATATGGCAATATTTATTGGATATATAAACGCTTATGTACAAATAAATAAAGTTTGTATAGTAAATTGTAATTTTTAGAGCTGTTATACAAACAAACTTTGCAATTATAAGATTGCCAGAAGGCTTTCTAGATTCTTAAATACACACTTCTTGTGTAAATACAACTTAAAACCATTGTTAATAAATACAAATATGGTTTAAAAGATGTTCTTTATACATCATAAAAGTTTATGATGGAGCAAAGACATGAAAAGCAGCTTTAAATGATCATTTACCAACTTTGCTATACATTTTATTAGTTTTCCCAACTGCAACTAGATATCACAAAGTAAAAGCATCTTGTTCTTATAGCAATTAGCAATTTATTGATTGTGTTTTTCCCCCCTGTAACTGGGAAACTACTTTTCACACGGTATTTCCCCATTAGCCTGTGCTTTCCAGCGAAATTGTACCAATTGCCAGGCGTTTTTTTATATACCATTCAGGGGTTCATGCATATATGCATTGTGTTGTTTTTATTTAATTTTCATTGACAATTAATCGATTTATTTAATTTTCTCCGACGATTAATCGATCGTTTAACCCATATATTTACGTATAAGAGAAGGATATTCACAGTTATAGGTGCTGGCGGATAAATCTCTTGTAAGTGGGTTAGTTAGCGACCCGAAAAAACTTCTCTCTGCCTTTCCAGTGAACCGTTATAGTGTATATATGGTATAAGATACATCTGTGGATGTGGCCAGGCAGCTTCCAAACCACACACAGACACGCACACACACCGACACGGGACACACTTATCTATGTATATCATGTCATCGTCATCCATTGCATGTGCATCTCACGTCACCGGAGCAGAGCACAACACGCCGTTTCTATCTCTCTTCCCATGGCTGTCTCCGTCTTCCTGCTGCTGCTCTCCGTCCAGTTGATGTTGTGGAACTCGTTTTTATTTCTTTTGATACCAATAATTCTACAGCTTTTTTCATGGATTGTGTGTGTGTGACTTGCCAGTTTCAGTTTCGGTTTCTATGTTTTATTTTTTCTCAGTTTGCCAAATGCGCGTTTGACCTTTAACGGGGTGGTGCACACACAAAAATCGGCAACAATTAAGCTTCATTCAAAACGCGAGCACACTCGGCGTCGCATTTTTAGTATCACTACATAAATTTTGATTTAATTGCCGAGCCAAAAAAGGCATTCGAGGGGGAGGGTGTGAAAACGAAACCAGAAGAGACAAAGACCATAAGCCCAGCCAGCAAATTGGCTTCAATGCGAGTTGAAGGTTAAGTGCGACTGCGACGCGGAAATCAAGAGCTTGGCTATTTGTGAATTGGATAACCACAGCTGTTGGCTCTAAACAGGCAACAGAAATTAAGACAGGGTTCTGAATGTATTAAAATATTTAGCAAATGTCTTTAAATATTTTATGAACTAAAGAAAATAATGAACACAACAATGTAAACAAGTTAATATTTTCAATTGGAATTTATTGAGATTTATTGGTGGCTTAAAGTGTTCATAGTTTCAGCTTTTTTATTTAATAAAATTGTATTCCCAAGTTTATTAGGCTTTTCTAAATTATTCATTGCTTTTATTCAAATTCTTGGGCATTTCTTTATTATTTTTAAACTTTTAAAGTCTCAAAATTTCGGATTTTTTACTTGTTTAAATTGCTTGCAGAATTTAGGCTCTTTTAATTAATTAAATTTTATTCCTTATTTTATACTAATTTCTATGCCTTTCCGTCTAATTTTTCAACTATTTAAACTCCCAAAAATTAAACAAAATTTCCAACAGTGTATAAATGACTTCGAATTGAACGGATATTTCACTTCTGACAGGGCAATTTTTATTTGTTCCTATTTCTGTGCAAAAATTTTTCCTTTGGCTTTTGGGGAGACGAAGACTGTTCGATATTTTTTTGCTTTTATATAAATAAACCTTAAACGATTTTTTCTGCGCCGCCGGGCCACACGAAAAGTGTCAATGTCAGCTGTTGTTGGTTGTGTGTTTTAGCCACGAAAGCGAACCAAAAACCAAACCGAGTCAAATCGAAAGCGAACCGATGTGAAATCGGGAAAAATCGAAGAGCCGTGCTAAATTTATTATTCAGCTGTCGGCATTGCCATCATATAGGCTTTTCTTTCTCTCCTCTCTCCTAGCCCACGTTTTAGCTGTTTCTAGTCCTTTTTTTTTCTACGATGTCTTGCACTACTAAAAGCCTCCCAAAAATAAACGTGTATATTATATATGTATGTCCATATTTTATAAATGACTGCAGTGCCTGGCGAAATGCTTTTGCAAAATGTTTCCGTCACAAAAGCACTTCATATATGTACGCCGGCACCTCCTTCACCTTTCTTTTTTGGCCGACGAAACACGCGCTGCTAATTGCACGCATTTGCAGATGAATCTGTGAGATACAGATACAAATACACTTGCTCCCAGTTCCCAGATAAATGTAAAAAATATAGTATATCGAGAGACAGCAGCTAAGCAGATGAAATATCCATGTTGCAATCATGATGTTTTTTTCCATAGCCCACGCCCCCAGCCCCATTTTGCTGTTGGAGATTCATAACAACAGAGAGGCAACCAGCACTCGACGTCATCTTTGCTCCCACAACATTGTCAAAAGTCTCCCCCCCGTACCCCCCTTTACCATACTCCCCCAGAGCTGACCAAAAGAAGACATTCGTCCCAGGCACTGTGGTTTTTTTAGGCTATAAAAATGTTAAAAAAATGCATATGTTTATTTTTTCTCATCTTGACTTATTGCCTTCCTCATAGCCTGTGTTCGTGTATTGTGTTAACATGGCTGACAACAACTTCTGCATTTTTAGTTGAGGATTTAGGGGATAGAGGGGTATATAATGATTATTTTATGAACTGCAACCAAAGGAAAATGAGCTTTGGAAATAAAGTTGAGTTTAGAGGAAGCTACTGTTTTAAAAAGGGAATATGTGTACTTTTTAATGTCTTTAAAAATTTGGGTTTATATTATCTGAATTAAGGATTTTCTTATAGATTTAAGTTTGTATTATTTTGGTTTTAAGGAATTTTTAGAACTTGCACAAGTTTATTTTTAGCCTTTAAAAAAGGTTCTTTTATAAAGTCTAGTTTTATGATAGACTTTTCATATCTTAAACCTGAAACTATCTATATTATATATACTTTTACATTACATTTCTTCATTTCTATATCATCTCCACTGTGCTCTTCCATATTAAGACCTCTCAAGTTGCGTTGCAGGCCTTTTTTTTCTGTTTTTTTTCCAATTGCTCTGCCCGCCCACCGCCTTCACTGCCCGTTTGCTGTGATCAGCGGGCTATAATTATGCGGTTGGTCCCCTTTGATCAGAGGTCTATGCCTTCCCCCCATCACCACCTTTATGCCCTAACCCCCTTGCTATGCAGCATCGGCGGCGGCATCTTCAAGATATAAAGTTCGTTTTTGGTAACTGGAAACCAGTGAAAATTGCCTTGGTTTCCCCTGATTTTCCCTTAGCTGCCGGCAAACAATTTTCGGCTACTTTTGCAATCCAACTACAACTCCCACAGACTGGTCCCGCATTTCCCTAACGGCTGGCTTTTCCTATAATTTTATCTCCCTGTTTTTGTGTTGTTTTTTCGTTCATCAAATTGAGTTAGCGAAATTACTATAATTTTGTGGGAAATTTTATGGGTCAAATTTCAGCCATGTTGACAATGCTGCCGGGGAAAAATAAAAAAATAATAATAATACACGAAAAAAAT